TAATTTTACTTAATCTGGGAAAGGCTTTTATAAAAGAAATCTTAAGAAGATGGAAAATAAGAGATACTGAGACTACAAGTCCTTTTAGTGTTAGAGGATTTTGCTCTCCCATCTACCCTTCCCCACTTCCAGACAGTGGAAAGGTTACTGTGTTCTTTATAGCCAGAAAAACTGAGTCATATCTGTGTGATCTTTCTGGCTTGCTGTACCCTCTGGGCCAAGTGCGTCCCCGCCCAGGAAACCTCCTCAGTTCACAAGCTGGGCTTATGCAGGAGCCCAGCCAACTACTGTCATTTCACCAAGCCCTGATGTCTCTGCCATTCACCAGCTGTGTGTCCTTGCATGAGTCCCTTAACCTCTCTGTGCTTCAACTCCTTCTGAAATGGGGAAAGCATTACCTCTCAAGGGTTTTTGTGAAGATTAGATAAAGTATATAAGGCTCTGGACACAGTGTACGTGCTCAAGAAACACCTGTCAAACTAATAACTGATGAGTGATTTCCTTTCAGTTTGTTGTTGGCCAGTGTATGGGTGTATTTTTGTTATTGCTTTCCCCTTTTTTTTTTCCAGCTGAAAACTCACTCAACTTTTCAGAACAACAATATACCAAACCCCTTTGCCTTCACCTACATGAGATAGGATCTTTGGTAACAAACAATAGAAATTAACTGGAGCTTAATTAGCAAAGAAGGAAGTGGGGAGGATTTATTACAAAGACCCAGGAGTGTTTCAAAGATTCTAAGAGCTTAGGGGCGCCTGGGTGGCTTAGTCGGTTAAGCGTCCGACTTTCGCTTAGGTCATGATCTCGCTGTTCGTGGGTTCGAGCCCCGCGTCGGGCTCTGTGCTGACTGCCAGCTCAGAGCCTGGAGCCTGTTTCAGTCTGTGACTCCCTCTCTCTCTGACCCTCCCCTGTTCACGCTGTCTCTCTCTCTCTCCTAGAAATAAATTAAAAAAACATTAAAAAAAAAAGATTCTAAGAACTTAGAATAGGGATTCTTCTCCCTGTTTCTTCCTGAAGGTGTGCCGTGTTTCTTGCCGCCTGTCTCCCCGTCTCCCTCTAAGCTGGCTTTCTCCACCAATGTAGCCACCACCAACTGCCTCTCCCAGTTACATTCTCTACCATGTGCAGAGACTCATTAAACGACCCTAAATCCCCAAGCCAGGATCCGGATAGAGAGATTTTGATCGGCCCAGATTTGGCCACATCCAAAAAATACACAGTAAGTAATTGCCAGAGGGCCAATGAGTTCATCACAGCTCCTCTGTAGCAGGGAAAAACTGGGCCAGCTGAGAAGTTTGAGTCCTCAGAGGGATTAGTATAGAGGTGACCAGAAATTGAATCCAGAGCTCCCAGAGTTGAGCCCAGGTCAGAGCTTAAAAGACATTCACGCAGGGGAACCTGGGGGGCTCAGTCAGCTGAGCATCCAACTCTTGATTTAGACTCAGGTCACGATCCCAGGGTCATGGGGCTGAGCCCCATGTCAAGCTCCATGCTTAGTGTGGAGCCTGCTTAGGATTCTCCCTCTTTCTCTCTCTCAAAAAAAAAGACATTCATGTATTACTTAGTCTAACCTCTGCCCACATTTTACAGGGAAGGAATGGGGTCCAGAGATCTGTTTGTCTGAGGCACTCCAGCCAATTGGTGACAGCACTGGGACCAGAGCTCCTGGCTCCATATGGTTCAATCTCAAGGTTTCAGAAGGCCGGACCTGATTTCCCTGAGGGCAGTGCTGTCTGATAGAACTTTCTGTGATGATGGAAATGTTTCACATCCATGCTGTTCAATATGGAGGCTCTTGAGCATGTCACATATGTTGTAGTTGAGGAACTGGATTTTAAATTTTACCTAATTTTAATTAATCTAAATATAAGTCACCACACGTGGGTAGTGACTACCATATTGGACAGGATACTCCTGTGCTTGAAGCCTTCTGATCACTCAGGAAAGGAGTAGACATCGAATCCCCAGTAGATGAAGAATCAGAAGATAAAAATAGATTATCCATACAAGCAGATATAGAGAGAAAACTACTACTTTGTAAAAGTATTTGGTAATTATGGAAATGTAAAACAAAATTGCTTTAAGCCCTCTCCTTTTTGCCTAATTGGTGAAAATAATTAACAAATGTAAATTATACCATTTAATCTCCCAACAACCTTGTGAGAGAATAATTTCAAGTGTTCTCAGAATGCCTGGGCCAATCATGTTTCCACCCTTTATGACCTGTGTGTTCTTGGAAAAATAACTGGGCCTTCGTTCCCTGATCTGTTATTAATATTACTACCTACCTCAGAGGGGTTTTCTAGGGGCAAGTGAAAAAGTGCACATAAAGGGCTCAGCACAATACCTGGCATGTTATAGGTGCTCAATATATGTGAGCTGGGACTATTACCTGCATTTTACATGAGGCTCAAGGAGGCAACTGACTTGCTCCAAATCGCTCACTGAGTAAGGGTTGGAGTCAGAATTCCCACTCAGGTCTCTCTGGCTCCAAAGCCTTCTTCTGAGCTGCACCTTTACATGGCTCAGGGTGCCTTAGAGCTCTCCCTTCTCCCCCCACTCCCTCCCTCCTTATACCTTTGCCTCTAGAACCCTGGTGACTCTGTGTGGCCTCTAGACTCTGGATTGTCCCCCAGACCCAGCTCCTGAGCGCCCCTCCACACATTGGGAACTGCCAGGGCTATACTCTGGTGGGGATGCTGAGGGACCAGCCGCATGTCCTGCTGCTGCCCACGGGGAGGAAGCTGCCCTCCATCCCGCAGGAAGAGAGGGAGAGTAAGGTTGGCCCAGTGAAGATGAAGGGGCGGTGGAGAGTGAGCAGGCCGCGAAGTGGCAGAGCTGAGACTTGCCTGGTCTTTGGACTCCAAAACCAGTTTCCTACCCAACACTCCACAGATCCTCAGGAGCAGGAACTGAGGGTCCTGGAGTGGGTGATACAACCATCCCAAGGGCCTCACTTTGCCTTTTATGAACTCATGGGACTTCCAGCTAAGAAACTGCTAACACACCAAGCTGCTAAATAACTAGTGAAAAACCAATCTTAGATGGAGGCGAAATTAGCTACACACCCACCACTCACACATTATTTCTCTACGACCACCTGTATCTGAAGAGGAAGGGCCAGTAATAATTGCTCTCCAGCCGTTCCTAGGCTCCCAGCTGCCCTGGTCCTAAGAACAGGTTAATCTGTGGCTTGTGCTTAGAGCGTCCCCACGTGTTTCTACTTTGTCCTACGTTTTTTAAAGGACCAATTATCAGCATCATCAAGATTTATGAGTGAGGGGGCTGATCTCCTTGAAACTCCACAACACTAAGAGGTAAGTGGATACCCAGGCTCAGAGGGGCTAAGGGACCATTGAGGGAGAGTGGCAAAGCCAAGACTCTAATCCGAGTAGGTCCCACTTCTCAGGAGCCCCTTCTTCCTGCTACCACTCCCTGCATCTCACTAGTCTCCAGGCACAGAGCCTGCTGCTCAGGAACTGATGTTCCAGAGCCCCTGGGGGAGGCCAGCACTGCACTGGCCTCAGACCACAGTCCAGTAGCTTGATCTTCAATTCTGAGGCCAGCCCTTCCGTGTGGGAGACTGGCCCCTCTCGCTCATCTTCTTCCCATGCCCTACCCTAAGTATTCATTCAGCAACCCAGTGCTGGGACCACAGAAGTGAGCAGGGGTGATTCAGGCACGAGTTCAGCGAGAGGCAGCGCTGAGATCCTAGGGGCAGACGACTTGAATTCTGCTACTTTCTCCCCAGGGGTCCGGCTCTTGAGCCTCATTTTCCTTGTGTCTCAGGTAGAATTAGCAGTAGCATAAAAGTGATGGTGCGTACAGAGCTCAGGGCCTAAAGGTAGTGGTCTTTCTGCATTCACTCCCCAAACTCAGAATTTGCCACAGATGGGGCTGTGTGCAGGCTGCCGGAGGCAGGGATAAATCCATGTGGTTCGTATTAAAAGGGGCTCCTGGCTGCTCAGTTGGTAGAATATGTGACTCTTTTTAAAAAATTTTTTAAAGTTTATTTGATTATTTGAGAGAAAGTGTGTGTGAGGGGAGGGGTAGAGAGAGAGGAAGCGAGAGAACCCCAAGTAGGCTCCATACCATCAGCGCAGAGCCTGATGCAGGGCTCAAACTCACAAACTGTGAGATTGTGACCTGAGCCAAAGTCGGACACTTAACCCGCTGAACCACTCAGGTGTCCCAAACATGTAACTCTTAATCTCAGGATCATGAGTTCAGGCCCCACATTAGGAGCCTACTTAAAATTTAAAAATTTTTGAAAAATCCACGTGGTTCTTGAGGCCCAGGAAGATTCAGGAGGCCGGTATATAAAACATTAGCACTCCAGCCACTTGCTCCTTCTCTTCCCCACCCTTTCCTGTACACCCTCCCCCGCCCCCCAAACACATAGACCTGATTACCCAGGGGCAGCAAATCTGGGGACCACCTCCCATCCCAGGCCTGCCTTTGACCCTTGGCCCACTTCCTAGTGCCCAGCCTGGCCCTGGAGGTGGTAGGAAGGGGGTATCAATCAGCATGTCAAAGCCCAGAGAAGCTTCCTTTTGGTAGGCAGCAGGCTCATCCTCCTCCCAGCTGGAGAGGGAGAACCCACCCCCTGTGAGATGGGTGTGTGGTTTTCCACGCATCCCAGACAGTGGCGGAAGCCAATAGGGACAAGGGACTTGAGGGGCGGGCTGGAGATGTCCTCTGTAAAAGAAGATGGGGCCCCAGTGCCCTGGTTGGTCTGTTCTGGGTGTGAGGAGGTACAAGGGGCTCCTCCTGGCTCTGGAGGTAGGCACGTCCTCCTTGGGGCTGGCAGAGAGACCGGAGCACCCTCAGGTGAGAGGTGCTGGGAAGGCCCCCCTCTTTGCCCTCTTGGCCAGCTGATTTGCTCTTCTGCCTCACCCTCTGCCAGCAGAGCTGGCCCAGTCCCAAGGAAGGTGAGTCTGGGGCAGGCGGCGGTCAGTTCAGGCACTGAGCACGCCCGTCCTCTCTGAGCAGCTCCCAGCATGGGCAAAGAGAAGACCCACATCAACATTGTGGTCATCGGCCATGTGGACTCGGGCAAGTCCACCACTACAGGGCACCTCATCTACAAATGTGGGGGCATCGACAAGAGGACCATCGAAAGGTTTGAGAAGGAGGCCGCAGAGGTAAGGCTGCTCCGTCTAGCCTCCCTGCCCCGCTTCCCGGCCTTGGTTTCCCTGGGAGGGGTGCCTCCTTGAGGGGGAGGAGACCACTCACCTCTGCTGAACACCTGCTGGGCTGCTAGGTGCTTTCCTGCTCAATCATGTCAGGGAGGTGGTGTGGCTGCCATCTTCCAGGTGAGACAAAGGAGGCTCAAAAGGGTTAAAGGACGTTCCTGAGGATGGTGCCAAGGTTTAAAACTTCGTGTGACACAGATGTCATCACGCTGTATCTAAGGAGATAAAGCTGCCACTTAAAAGAGGAGAAAGGATTTATTTGCCCTGCATCTGGCATGAACTTTAGAGCCTTGAATACAACGGTGAACCTAGCAAGCCTTGTGCCCCAGAAACCGCTGGTCACACACCTTCTTGTCACACGGGTGCTGTAGGAGCCCAGGTCAGGAACAATGAGCATGTCCTGAGAGGCCCCCGAAGGCGTCCCCGAGGAAGGGACCTCCTCTGAGCGTGGAGGAAATGGGGCGGGTGTCGTGAGCCACCAGGAGATCGAACAGCAGGTGTAGAACCCTGAGATGGAGAGTCGTCGCCTAGTAGGACAGGGGATGCAGGCCTTGGGTGCCCTGTGAAAGAGCCTGGCCACTTTCCCTGCAGCCAAGAAAGGATTTCAAGGATGGGAGTGACCAGAATCAGACAAGATCTTTTTAGAAAGAGCACACTGGCTGCAGCGTGGGGCGAATGACGCTGGGGGCTAGGAAGCCAGATGGGAGGCTGTCGCTCCTGACCACAGAAGCAAGGATAGTGGCCTGGGCTCAGGTGGCAGCAGTGTGGATGGAGAGTAACGGATGGAGTCCGGGGGACGTAGAGAGTTGGGGAATCCACAGAACTTAGGAGTTTGCTGGAGGGGAGGGGGGAAGGGAGTAAGACGTGTTGAGGGTGACCCCCAAGTTTCTGGCTTTGGAAACTGGAAGATCAGTGAATACCAGGAGCAGAGCTGGTCTAGATGTGTGAGATTTGAGGTGTCCACAGGCTTTCTATGGTGATGTCCAGGAGGGCAGCTGAATAGTGGAGTCTGGAGCTCAAGATGGAAACCCAGGTTGAAGACTAAACCACGGGGGTGAGCTGGGTACACGCTTTGGGAAAGAGTGAAGTGATGGAGTCCTGGAATGAGGGGAGGAAGAGCTCATGCAGGGGAATGAGAAGGGAGACCCAGGGAGGTGGGTGGAAAACCTTAGAGTTGAAGAAGCATCAAACAAGATGGGAACAGTCTAGAACCAGCTGCTGCAAAGGTATAAATAGATGGAAAAGAGAAACCAACAGGTCACAAATCAGTGCCATCAGCTATTTTCCTCATCTTGGCTTCCTCGGGTATAGTTGGAATTGTTGTGGGGGTGCTTATGTGGCAGGGGCTGCTATGAAAAGCTTCAGAGTTTTGAAAAGGAGACTGGTCCACAGCCAGTATGGCAAAAGCATTACCAAGGTTATGGAAAAAACAAATGATCTAATGCGGTGGTTTTCAAACTTTCTGGTCTCAAGAACCCTTTACAGGGCACCTGGCTGGCCCAGTTTGTTGACCACCCAACTTCAGCTCAGGTCATGATCTCAGTTTGTGAGTTTGAGCCCCTCGTAGGGCTCTGCGCTGACAGCTCAGAGCCTGGAGCTGGCTTCACATTCTATGTCTCCCCCTCTCTCTGCCCCTCCCATGCTCATGCTCGGTCTCTCAATAATAAATGAACATTGTAGAAATATTAAAAAAAAACCTTTACATTTTTAAAGGCACCACAAAGAGTTTACTTATGTAAATTACATATTTATGATATTCAAATTTAAAACTAAGGTTTTAAAAATCCTTAATTCATTGGGGCGCCTGGGTGGCTCAGTCGGTTGAGTGTCTGACTCTTAATTTCCACTCAAGTCGTGATCCCAGGGTTATGGGATCAAGCCCTGTGTTGGGCTCCAAGCTGAGTATGGAGCCTGGTTGGGATTCTCTCTCTCCCATTTGTGTGCATGTGCTCTCTCTCTCAAAAAAAAAAAACAACAAAAAACAAAAAAACAAAAAAAAAACCCACTTAAGTCACTTAAAAATAATAGTAATAAACTCCTTATATATTAACATAAGTATCACACTTTTTGTGTATGAAAAATAACTTTTTCCAAAACAAAAAGTCTTGAGGGTGGCATTGTTTTACATTTCTGCTGATATCTTTAATGTCTGGTTTAATAGAAGGCACCTGGATTCTCATCTTCTGCAATCAGTCTGTTGTCCTGTAACCTCTAGAAAACACTACACACTGGTGTGAGAATTGGGGGGGAGGGGTTGGGAGGAGGCAAATAATACCTTCGTATTATAAATACCAGTTTTGACCTTGCAAACTCTAAAAGATATTGGGGTCTCTAGACCACCCCTTGATAGCTGCTTATCTAATGAATATTCTAAACTATAACAGACTTTATTGAACAGAAGTTCCTACAGTGGCAAAGGTTAAGACACCTGGGTTCTATTTCTATCTTTTAATAATCTAATTAGTTTTCTTGGGGGAAGCCACTTGGTCTCTGGTCTTTCTTGTTCTCTACTCTACCCTCTAATTAGAGCTGAAATGAACAGATGCCCAGGTCCCCTGAGCTGGCAAGTGGTAGAGTACTCCCTGAACAAGCATGCTAACTTGAATATGCTGCCACCTTTAGGAAGTCTCATTTTTACCAGTGCTGAAAGAAGCTCAACTTCTCCAGGTGCCATGAGTAATTATCAGTCATAGATACTGATTTAACATTTAACAGAAGATAGTGGTTGAGAGCCTGAACTTGGGTCTGATGCTTTGGTTCAAATCCTGACTCTACCGTTTATTCATTATATGATCTTGGGCCAGTCAGTTAATTTCTCTATTACTTTATCTGCAAGATGAAGATAATAAAACATCATTAAGTTGTTGGGAGATTAAATGAGATAACCCATGCCAAGTGCTTAAAACAGCACCACGTCCATGATCAGCATTAGTTCTGTGTTTGCTGTGACTGAGGGCTTGCTGACTGTGTGCCAGTGGTCCACACGCCTGCCGAGGCACTCTATCATTTGGTCCTGGGTCACTCTGACTTTAAAAGCCTGCTCTGAAAGAAAAACATTAACTATATAAGTAATAAAATTCTATTGTTTTGAAAAATTCAAAGGCATCTCCATACACTGACTGCCCTGTTCCCATCCCTCTGACTCTCAACTCATTTGGGAACTTCCTTCTGGGTTGATGGGCTGCTTTGGATATAGGGGTGACCCTGGGGTCTTCCTCCAATTCCTGGGCTAGGTGGGCAAAGGCTCCTTCAAGTATGCCTGGGTACTGGACAAGCTGAAGGCAGAGCGCGAACGTGGCATCACCATTGACATCTCCCTGTGGAAGTTTGAGACCAAGAAATACTACATCACCATCATTGATGCCCCAGGTCACCGTGACTTCATCAAGAACATGATCACGGGCACCTCACAGGTATCCCCAGAGTTGCCTTGGCTCTGCTTTGGGTGTGGGCATGGGTGTCCCAGGCTAAGTCTGAGCTGAGCCTTCTTCCCTCTGTCACCTGGGCTAGGCAGACTGTGCTGTGCTGATTGTGGCAAGTGGTGTAGGTGAGTTTGAGTCTGGCATCTCCAAGAATGGGCAGACCCGGGAGCATGTACTGCTGGCCTACACGCTGGGTGTGAAGCAGCTCATCGTGGCCGTCAACAAGATGGACATCACAGAGCCTCCTTACAGTAGTGCACGCTTTGAGGAGATCAGCAAGGAGGTGAAGGCCTATATCAAGAAGATCGGTTACAACTCTGAGGCTGTCGCCTTTGTGCCCATCTCGGGCTGGCATGGGGACAACATGATAGAACCCAGCAACAAGGTGAGAGCTGACTGGGACAGGGCCAATTAAATGCAACATTCCCACTCAAATCTTTGTGCTTCTAGAATACCCAGGATTTTTAGCATGGTTATGGGCCAATCACTGTGCAGGGTCTCCTTCCCCATCGGTTACATAATGTGATACAGATAAAAAGGAGATTACTCAAGACTATACAACTAGTAAGCACAGAGTTGTGTTGTATAATGTAGTAGTTACATGTGGCTATTAAATTATTAAAGTTAAGCCAAACAAAATCATTTCAGTTGCCTAGTTGTATTAGCTACATTTCAAGTGCCCAAGAAACACGGGGCTACCATATTGGACAGTGAAGTTAGAAGTTAGGATAGAATATTTCCATCATTGTAGAAAGTTCTGTTGAGCAGTGCCAGCAGAGTCTAGAATTCTAGCCCATGCTCACAGCATCTAAGCTACCTCTTGAGGCAGGTTAGGAAGTGTGGGGGCAATATAAATGTGTTTAAGATAAAGTCACTGTGCTCATGGATCCTGGGACCTAACAGGGTTTAAAATTCTTTTTTTTTTTTTTAATGTTTATTCATTTTTGAGAGACTGAGACAGACAAAGCATGAGAAGGGAAGGGGCATAGAGAGGGAGACACAGCATCTGAAGCAGGCTCCAGGCTCTGAGCTAGCTGTCAGCACAGAGCCTGATGTGGGGCATGAACCCACAAACCGTGAGATCATGACCTGAGCCGAAGTCGGAGGCTTAACCAACTGAGCCATCCAGGCGCCCCAAGTTTAAAATTCTTAAATAAGTGTCTCCCTACAAAGGAAGTCTAACTCTGGCATCAGACCTGGGTTCAAGCCCCAGCTTTCTCCTTTGCCCACAGTAAAGGGGTTAGGGAGGAATTAATACTCTTGGCCTAAGGACTCCTTTCCAGAGACTGTAAAAACTAAGAGACTCCACATGAGTTCATGCATACAGTTGGTGCTCAAATGCTAACTGCTATCACTAGCTACTTTACTATCTAAAGCCTACCTTTTCTATAATTGACTTGAGGATTCTTAGCCTTTTCCTCCACATGTACATAGCATAACCTTTTTCTGATTATAAAAGTGATGTCTAACATTTTTACAATGAGCCTTTCATGCAGACATGAAGTATTAGCTGTAATCCCATGGCTTATAGATAACCTAATTTTCGTGCAATTCTTTCCAGGTATTCACATCTGGATTCAAACTGTATGTAATTTTCTAGAAACTCTTTATTTTTATAATTTTCTTTGCCATTTAAACCTGTTAAATACCTAGTGGGTGTTTTATATTGCAGATCAGTGGTATAGTAGTTTAGCCATATTCATTATTAAATGAAAATGGTAGAGAAATTACTATGTGCCAGACCCCAGACTAAACACTTTACCTGTACACAACCCACAAAGAAGGCATTTTATTCCCATGTAAAATAAGAAAACTGGGACACAGTGTAGTTAAATAATAGCACAAGGTCACCAGCTTCCAAGAATATGGTTTTTGGTTTTATTGAATACCTCCATAAGCATCTTGATAAATCTTTGCATGTGTCCTCGATAATTTAATCAGAATAAGTTCCTACTGAAACAAAGGGGAGGCATTTTAGAGTCTTCTGACACCTATTGCCCAATTGTCCTAGGAAAGATTAGAACCACCCTTGGCAGTGTGTCCATTTGGATGGTACTTCAACATTTGCATGCTGGGTACTGTCCTTGGTGCTGAGAGTGAGAATGAATGAAATGCAGGCCCGGCTCATGGCACTGTGGTATGGGGGGGGGGGGGGGGGGGGGGGGGGGGGAACGGGTGGCGAGAGGTGGGTGGTAATGTAGTGGATGACGACAAATGCTAAGAAAAACTTAAGGATGAGGGGGCACGGTATGAGAGAGCTCCTCTCTGTTGGGTGATGAAGGGGGGTGCTTCTAAAATAACCCCAGAACAGAAACTTGAAGCTTTGATGCCCTTTTCCCAAGTAATTAGCACATAGTTCAGCTTGTGAAATAAGGGGATTTTATCCTCCTGTCCCTTTGGGCATTTATTAGGCATCTAGTATGTTCTAGGCGCTAAAAGAATAAAGTGCAGTCAGTGGACTGAATAGTAGATTTAGGATTTAGCCTCCACTCTTAAATACCTGTGACATGGGAGACCTCAGTTTCCCCACTTTTAAGATAGGGATGATGCTCCCCTCCTAAGCTTATGTGGGCCGCTGAGTTGGCACAGAGCCAAGTTAGTTGCCAAATTCATCAAACTAATAGAAGAGATTATCCTAACTGATGAGGTTCTGTTTGAATGAGGAGTTGGCCCCATTATCAACTTCTCCTTTGGGCATTGGGCAACCTACTTTTGACCCTCATTTATCCCCTCTGTAAAAAGAGGGAGTGTTCCTTTTTTTATGTTTGAATTATTTATATAAAAATGCATATTACAGTTCTTCAAAGCCTCCTGCTTCCCTTCCACCCCATCCCCCTGCTTACTAGAGTTGAGTATTAATTGAAATTGTAGCTTTCTTCCTTGGGTCACCAATTTTTGTGTCCATTAGGCAAGATGTGCTGTGTGTGGCTTCTGTGCTCCACAGCTATACTTCTCCTTCAGGGAAGAAGACTTACTTTACTAGAGCCCTCTTCCCTACGCACCAAAGCCATCCCTGATCCCCCTTACCAATCCTTTTACCCATGGTAGTCCCTGTTCCTCTCTCTTTCGAGACTCTCACTAAGGACTGATCTCTTGTTGTGTGTGACCTCAGGGCCAGGGCACCTCACCCATGTCCTGACTTTAACCAATAGGTAGAGGCTGCTATTGCTTTGACACTGATGGTAGACTGAGATTCCAAAGCCTAGAGATTTTCTCAAGGGTCTATGGCTGGAAAGGAGAAATGTGACTGGGATTCCAACACTTTGTCTGACCTAAGGCCACACACTGACCAGCTCTGTCACTTGATGACTGGTCACTCGGGCCTTCTCGTCAACCTTCTTGGCTCTGTACCTCTTCTGTCCTGGATTTCCAGTTAACTGATACATTTCTGAAGGCAAAGATGATGTTTCTGATGTGCTTTGGCCAGGGTTTTTAGAGAAGTAAATAAAGTGTCTGCTTAAAAGGCATGCATACAAGGTACTGTTATATTTATGGTTATCCTTTTAGAAGGCTTCACATTCAATAACGCTGCCCTGACCTAATGTTGGGGAAAGTGTAGTCTTCAGAAACTGTAAGTGTTAGATTATTTGAGTCTTACCTTCATTCGCACTGCTGATGTTTAGTTAACTCTGCTGTGTTTCTCTGCTCCTTTGTTTCCCCATCAGTGGAATGAGCAGATGGAATGAGACCCAAGAACTAATCAGGCTCTAGGAATCTCTGCTTCCTAAAAATACTGGCTCAAGTCGGGCAACAACTGCAAGATTTAGAGCAACTGCCACCATTTAATATGTGTGTAGTACATGTCAAACATTGTGCTTGGTGGATTGCATGTGGTCTTTTGTGTCTTTACTTGAACCTGCAAGGTAGGTGGTGATAGGTTTCATAGATGAAGAAGCTGAGGCTCAGAATGCATTAAAAAAAATTGCTTGAAGTCCTATGTTAAAACCAGTTTGGCACCTGGGACAGGCTCCCTCAAGCTAAGTGAGCTGCACATTTGGTGGCTTTCCCAGATGTCCTGGTTCAGAGGCTGGAAGATCACCAGGAAGGAAGGAAACATGGTGGGCATGACCCTGCTAGAAGCACTGGACTCCATCATGCCCCCTGCCCGGCCTGTGAACAAGCCCCTGCGGCTACCCCTGCAGGACGTATATAAGATTGGGGGTGAGCACATGCTGTGTTGGGGGTGGGGGCTCATGGAAGTCTGGCTGCTGACAGCTGTGGCTGCTTTGTCCCCCAGGCATCGGCACTGTGCCCGTGGGCCGGGTGGAAACAGGCTTCCTTAGGCCAGGCATGGTGGTGACCTTTGCCCCCTGCAACATCACCACGGAGGTCAAGTCTGTAGAGATGCACCATGAGCCCCTGGCTGAGGCCCTGCCCGGAGACAACGTGGGCTTCAATGTGAAGAATGTGTCGGTGAAGGACATCAGGAGGGGCTACGTGGCAGGAGACAGCAAGAATGACCCACCTGCAGAGGTGGAGAGCTTCGTCTCCCAGGTGAGGAGGACCATTTAAGGGGTATCCTCCTGAAACAGCTACATTGTCCTATGAGCAGAATGGCCCACTGGGTTGTTCAGGAAGTTGTCACTGAGCATATGCTCCATACTGGGCTCTTGGCCTGCAGTGTAGGTACAGTCCAACTGTCCAGGTTAGGATCCTGACTGCAGCTTATTTGCTACTTTGACCTTGAACAAAACAATGCACTTTGCTGCTCTTAGCTTCCCCAGTATGGTCTTGATGTCTCAAAGCAGTTGTTTTCAAACCAGGTGGATTAGAATCAACTGGCAGGTGTTTCAAAAATGTAGACTCCTGGGGCTCCTGGGTGGCTTGGTCAGTTGAGCTGAGGATTCGAGTTCAGGTCACGATATCCACTGGCTCACTGCTATGAGCACAGGGCCCGCTACAGACCCTCTGTCCTCTCTGCCTGCCCTTCTCTTGCTTGAGTTGACATGCGTACTCGCGTGCACTCTCTCTCAAAAATAAACATTAAAAAATTTTTTTAACGTTTTTATTTATTTTTGAGAGATACACAGAGACAGAGCATGAGTGAGGGAAGGGGCAGAGAGAGAGGGGCACAGAGAATCTGAAGAAGGCTCCAGGCCCCGAGCTGTCAACACTGAGCCTGATGCGAGGCTCAAACTGCCAAACCGTGAGATCATGAGATCATGACTTGAGCCGAAGTCAGAAGCTTAACTGAGCCACCCAGGCGCACCCCTCACTAAAAAAATTTTTTAATGCAGATTTCTAACACTCTTCCCAGTGGCTCTGGGGAGTGATTCAGTAGACGGGTGGAACCTGGGAATCTGTATGTTAGAGCTCTCAGGGGTCTCCTTGGTCCAGAGTTAGAATGTGAAGGGTGTTCTGGCCGCAATGTCTGGCACATTCTTGTGCACGTGGAAGCTGGTGCTACCTTGCAGTCAGCTTGGGAACATTAAAGGAGGGGGTTATATGTAAAACAGCTCACCTGAGGCCAATAGGTCACCTAACACATTAGCTGCTATCACAATGCATTTTCTAAATGGTGGGGAAAGTAGTACATAAATAACATACACACGTGTAGGTTTTAGTGGCACTCATCCTCAGCTCGGCCACTTCCCTGCTATTTCATTGTGAGCAAATTACTCAGGTTCTGTGCTGTGAGAATTAGATCTGAATGCATGCGATCTACTTACCACAGAACTTGGTATACTCTATATAATGTTCAAATGCTCACTGTAACTTAAAATGTGTTCAAGGTGCCTGACCCCTTGGCCGGTTAGGGCCACCTCCTTTGGAGGATGCTTGGCTAATCCCCTCCCATCCCACCCTGGGTTCCAGGTGATCATTCTCAACCACCCTGGCAACATTGCAGCTGGCTACTCCCCAGTTCTGGACTGCCACACGGCCCACATCGCTTGTAAGTTTGCAGAGCTCAGGGAGAAGATCGACAGGCGCTCAGGCAAGAAGCTGGAAGATAATCCCAAATCCCTAAAGTCTGGGGACTCAGCCATTGTTCAGATGATTCCACGAAAGCCCATGTGCGTGGAAAGCTTCTCAGAGTACCCACCCCTTGGTAAGTCCTGGCTACTGGGGCTGCCCTGTCCTCCTCCTGGCTCCAGGGAGCCAGTTAGCCAATGTGTCACACCCAAGCCAGGTTACAAAACCTGGTTAGAAGGACCTGAGTTCCAGGTTAGAGGGGCTCAGAAAAAAGGAAAATGGTTTTTGTCCAGTGTCATACAGCAAGGCAGGGGCCACTTTAAATTATTTCTTTTAATGTTTTATTTACTTCTGAGAGAGACAGCATGAGCAGGGGAAGGTCAGAGAGACAGGGAGACACAGAGTCTAAAAACAGGCTCCAGGCTCTGAGCTGTCAGCACAGAGCCTGACGCGGGCCTCGAACCCACGAACCATGAAATCATGACCTGAGCCAAAGTCAGACGCTTAACTGACTGAGCCACCCAGGCGCCTCAACAGGGGCCACTTTAGAGCCCTGCTACTCAAAGTTTGGTCCGTGCACTAGTAGCACGGGCATCCCCTAGGAAGTAGTTAGACATGCAGAGCCTCAGGCCCCACCCAGACCTGCTGAACTCAAGTCTGCAGTTTAACAATATCCCCAGGTAATCGAGATGCATATCAATTTAAGACCCTGTGATCCAGACAAGGTGAATAAAGCAGAGATTATTAGGGATTTTCTTTTTCCATCTTCTTCTCCAGTGCAGTGGTTTTCAAACCTGGTAGATAATCAGAACCACTGATGGACCCCACTAAACCCAGAGACTCAGGTGATAGATTCACCTGGTCAAAGCTTCAGCCTAGCTGTCTGTTTCTTAGATTCCCCAAGTATAGTATGCATGGCTGGGTTTGAACATTAACCTAGAATGTTCTGATCTCAAATATATGCGGGGGGGGGGAGGGAAGGCACTTTTATATAGTGCCTAGTCTGTGCTAGATGACAGAGATTTATAAACAAACAAGTCCCAGCCTTCAGGGTCTCCCAGGGTGTGAATTTGAAAAGGCTAATTTTAGAGGTGGGCCACAGAGGCTGCCACATGATATCTTACAAACTGGTTTAGTACTTCCTGTCTCAGCCAAAAATACTATGAGGTTGAAGCCAGATGCAAAACCCTTTCTCTCCATGACCTGAAGTCAGAGGAACATTCAAGAACTCCCCTCCCCCAGGAGAAGCATCTGCCAGATTCACAGTTGGATGTAAAGGAAAGCCACCCTGTGGGTAGTTGTGGTGGGCACGGAGAGAGTGCTAGCTGATTGGAGGCTGGGAGCATCAGTATGGTAGGCTGGTGAGTTGCACCAAAAGCAAAGTTTTCCAGTGACCTCTACTTAGGGGAATGGGACAATCCAGTGGCTAAGAACTTAAGTGTTGGTGTGAGACTTTCTGGGTTTTCAACCATCACAGCAAAGCGACCTTTGCCCCAGCTTTCTCAACTATAAAGTAGATCTGAGATCTATGAGCTTGGAGAATTAAATGCACTCATATGTATAATTTAGAGTATTACTTACTTGACCTCCTGAGCAAGTGTCCTAGCTCGTGCCCTTGTAACATTCCCCATTTGTTTCATGTCCTGTGTCCTAGGTCGCTTCGCTGTGCGTGACATGAGACAGACGGTGGCTGTTGGGGTCATCAAGGCTGTGGAGAAAAAAGCAGCGACTGGTGGCAAAGTCACCAAGTCTGCCATGAAAGCGGCCAGGAAGTGAGTGGTGACAGCTACTTCAGGCCTTTCCGGGCCAGGAGCAGCCACAGCTGGAAAAGAACGGCTCCAGGAGAAGCCTTGGACTTACTCTCCTCTTGCCTTAATTATCTTAACCCTGCCCCCTGCTAATGCAGTCACCTTCTTGCTGATGAGTTTGAGGGAGTAAAGCACACCAAGTCTTTTTGCCCCCGCCTCTACTGACCTTGATGTTGCAAGCATAAAGGAAGCAGGTGGAGTGCTCCGTCTAATTCTACCCCTCACCTTCCTTCTGGTGCCTGACTCGTGCAAGAACCAGAGAGCTGGGGTCACAGGGAGGAAAAGGTGTAAAGGGAAAAGTCTAGGACAGCTTTTGGCCCCAGCCAAGTTCATCAGATCCTAGAACAGGACTCTGGTGTTAAATAGCCTGACTTAAATATTGTGTCTATAAAAGTTACTAAACTTCTGTGTGCCTTGCTCATCTGTAAAATGGGAAAACAATACTATCTGCCTCCACAGGGATGCTGAGGTTTGAGTGAGCTAATACCTGCTAGGTGTGGTAATTAGCTAATCTCCTCAACAGGGTGTGGGCACTGGAGGCAAGTGAGCACTATCCTGGGGAAGTTCTGTTGGAAAAAAGTTGGGGGGGAGGGCAGAGAGCAAGCTTGAGATTTGTAGGGTGAGCTCTGTTTTATTTTTTAATGTTTTATTTATTTGTGATACAGAGATAGAGACAGCACAAGCAGGGGAGGGTCAGAGAGAGGGAGACACAGAATCTGAAGACAGGCTCCAGGCTCTAAGCTGTCAGCACAGCCAAAGGCGGGGCTCAAACCCACGAACAGGGAGATCATGACCTGAGCCGAAGTCAGACGCTTAACCGACTGAGCTACCCAGGAGCCCCGGGTGAGCTCTGTTTTAGATCTGCTAGGTACATGTCTCCCTCAGGTTATTTTAACTTCAGTTTGACAATTTGAGTTCCAAAGCTGCAAGAAACCCCTGGTTTCTTTCACCCAGAATCCCCAAATCATATTTACCACATTTTTCCCCATGTATTATTTGAGGGTGATCTGCAGACATGATGGCCATTTACAGCGAATACCGCAAGTGTATTTCTTAAATCCAAGAGGATATTCTGATATAACCAAGGTAAAGTAATCAAAATGAGGGTGTTAAATTTAATGTGGGTACACTTCTGAAATCTGCAGGCTTAATTCAGATTTCACAGGTTACTCCAAAAACATGCTTTATAGCAAAAGAAAATCCAGGATCATGTGTTGCATTAAGCGATCTTGTTTCTTTATTCCAAGTTTTGGAGTCACCCCACCCTTGGTTTTGTTTCTCCTAGAGGTTTGAGGCCTCTGCTCTGAACTAACTAGTGGGTGTTTGATGGAGGAAGCTCAAGGGTGCAGGGGTGACTGAGGGGGAAGGGGGCCAAGGGGTCTTTTTACTCTCCATCAACCCAGCTTCCCAGAAGTCCCCTTTGTTCCCCTACTGGATGAAACAAGGAGAGCCTGGGGGCTTTTGCCTTCGATGTAGCAATGGGAGTAAGGAATTATGGCAGCAGAAAGACGACTCTGGTCTCCTTTACCACCAAAGCCGTTTGCACACTTATTCCCGTTAAAGAAACTGATTTGAGATTTCTCCTCGGATGTGGATCCTGGCAGCCCCTTGAGTCCTGCTGCTGAGGATTTAGCGTAAACCAGGAAGCCCTATTACTGTTTGCGATTGGAGCGTTTGTCAGAGACAAGCCCTTTTTATGACTACAGGTTGACTCGACTATACCCTGTGTTTAACACATTTTGGGGGGTGTAGATTTGCTTGGATACAGTGGTTTTATATTAGGAGTAACCCTGAATTGGAAGCTTACTGCCTTCCTTACACAATCACCTTTCAGTTTCACAACAACCGCCTATGATCCAGGTACCCATTTTAAAGCCCAGGAAAACTGAGGCGGAAAGAGGTCTAGTTGGTAACCTGGCCATGGTCGCGTAGCGATGAGCTAGCCAAGATAGGAACACAGCTGCCACCACTGTTCTAACTGTATACATTCCATGTGTTTACATATTTACCGAATAAATGGTTTCCTTCATAGTTCGCACAATGGGTTTCATGTAGTTCTGGAAGTCTCATCACGCAAGAACCACTGGCTCTGGAGACTGGGGGAGGGAATAGCGTCAATGGAGACCGGAAGTTCAATAAAAAGCCGGTTCTGGGAGTTTTTAAGACCATTTTTGGAAAACCCGGGTCCCGGGGGTCGCCCGGCGCCCCCTGCAGCTGCCGGCAGCGCACACCAGGCCCAGCAGAGCGCCGCACTGCGCCCCTGGCGTCCCTCAGGCTCCTCCAGCTCCTCCTCAGCTCTCGGGTTAGCCTGGGAAAAGAGCCCGCCTCCTGACCCATAAGGCCTTGGGCCGGAAGTCCCACTTTCTCTTCCTGTTCTCCACCATGGCGGTGAGTATCTGAGCTCTCGGCTTGCCTCCCTTCATCCGCCTTCATCCACGGCCGGCCGAGCCCGCGGGAGCTGCGTCGTCCGCGGCTGGAGGAGAAGGGAGCCCGCAGTGCTGGCCGTGCCGAAACTGGCGGAGCCACGCAGGCGGAGGGCGCGGAACTGAACCCTGGCGCCTCCCCCTTCGCCCTCCTAGGAGCGGGTTCGGAGTAGGCGCCGGGAGGGCTCAGAAGCATAGCCCGTAGGCTGCAGGGAGGGCGAGCAGAGCGAACGGCGGGGCTGGCACGCGGTGTCAGGACCTGTTGCCCGTTCCGGGGACTTGAGACCTGCCCGGCGCCAGGGAACCTCAGCCTGTCCCTCCGTTGGGGGAAGGCGCTAGTCTTCTGCCGCGGCCCCCAGGCTGCTTCGGAACGGAATGGGGGACGTCGCACAACCACGTGTTTCCTGTTTCCCCAGCTTTTAAATTCTATTTTCTCCCGCATCGGCTTTATGATGGGGACGCGCTCCCGCACCTTACGCGTTGCGCCCTTGGGGCTTCATCCTTTGCCTGTCATTTTAACTCCCGATACCCGTCCTGAGTTTCTATACACCCATTCCGTGCGTAGAAGAAGAAGAAACAGCATCCCGAGCTGTTGGGTACTTGACGGACTTTTTTTTTTTTTTTTAAACCCTTCGGGCTTTCGTTAGGAATCGGGATGAGCAGAAATGGGTTAATGTTGTGTCTCCAAATGCTGGAGTCGCTGCTGGCGTGGGTTGTGTGTTGACTGCTGCGCTTCCGTTGTTGCGGCAGGATCAAGGTGAGAAGGAGAACCCCATGCGGGAACTTCGCATCCGCAAGCTCTGCCTCAACATCTGCGTAGGGGAGAGTGGAGACAGACTGACCCGGGCAGCCAAGGTGCTGGAGCAGCTCACAGGCCAGACCCCTGTGTTCTCCAAAGGTGAGCAGTGCAGGCAGTTGGGGGAGGACCGGTTGCTGGCTCCCTGGATGTTTCCTAATTGGCCTGGTGTCAAGCCTGTTTAGTGCCGGTTTTGTAAGTGACAGTTGGTATCCCATAAAACTTCCTTCCTAAACTACCCCAGACGTATTCTCCTATCAAGATTGGGTTTGGTGTTGGAATACCAGGTTTTGAAGTTAGCAGGGATTAAGCCACGACCCGTTCAGGGAGAGGTTTTCCAGAGCGAGTGGAAATGTTGGGAATTCAGTAAATGATCTTTGGCTTGATTCACGTTTAGAATTTATGAGCTACATTACGAGCAGTTTTGTGGGGTGCCTGGGTTGCTCAGTTAGGAGGTGGACCCTTGATTTCTGCTCAGGGCATGATCTCATGGAATCAAGCCCTGCGTTGGGTTCCTTGTGCCGCTTGGGATTCTCTCCTTTCCGCCCTTCGCCTGCTCATGCGCATGCTCACTCACACTCTCTCAAAATAAACTTTTTTTTTGTTTTTAGTCTTTATATATGGGGGGGGGGGGGGACAGAGAGAGGGAGACACAGAATCCAAAGCAGGCTCCAGGCTCCAGGCTCCGAGCTGTCAGCCCAGAGCCTCACGTGGGGCTGGAACTCACCGACCGTGAGATCATGACCTGAGCTGAAGTTGGACGCTTAACCCACTGAGCCACCCAGATGCCTCTGAAAACAAACTTTTTAAAAAATAATGTAAAACAGATTTGTGTACCTAGACTAACTGGGTTCAAATCCTGGCTCCAACACTTGGAGGTCTGACTGTGGCCTTTCTGGGTGTTGGCTTCCTCATTTGCCTGAAGGAGATGTTAACGAGGTTTGAGGGATAGAATGAATTGTGTGGAATCCCTGCTGCATACCGAGCCCAGTATAGACATTACCATTGTGTTGACTTTTTTCTTGTTTATTTTTGAAGTTCCATTGCTTTAGGATAGTGGAATATGGCAAGTTCATAGGTCCAGGTCCTACCTCTTACTTGGGACAAGTTAACCTCCCAGAACTTCATCTGCAATAGATAACATTACAATAAGGCTTTAGAGAATGTTATTATCAATAATGTTTTCTTTAGAACACAATGATCATACTCCTTTCTAGTGGCCTATTCTGGCTGTATTCTTGGCCCTTCCTGACACAGCCATGATGGATTATTTGGGGCTCCTAATTGCTTAAGTTATGATTGAGTGACTTGGAAGTTGAAAAATCTGCTTTCTGTATTACAGATGAAACTATTAGCAGATGCAGGTGACACTGGTTAGAATGCTGCCACTTAAGATGTGGATGGATATTTAATGTCTTTTAGACTTGGAGATGATGTTCTGGAAAAGAGGTGAGTGGGATGGACCTGTGATACCTGTTGCCTTGTTTCTCCCTGCCTGCAGCTAGATACACTGTTAGATCCTTCGGTATCAGGAGGAATGAAAAGATTGCTGTCCACTGCACGGTCCGTGGGGCCAAGGCCGAAGAAATCCTAGAGAAAGGTCTAAAGGTGAGGCTGATCCCTATGAATGATTTCTCTGGGTTTTCCTGTGTCCTTTACATATTGGGGAAAGTTCTACGACATCCACAGTTGTGTGATTTGGTATTGGGGGGAAATAAGATTTTTGTCCATGATCAAATTAGTTGAGTT